AAAAAAAAAAAAAAATGCAGAGTAGTTTTAAGAATTCTCCTGAAGCCAAGCAAGTGGATGGGAAGAATGTCATCTCTTTCAGCCCTCTGGAAGGAGCCGCCATTAGCCGGCGAGCCAGTGCTCTGGCCAATGAAAGCTTGAAGATAAAGAGAAGCGAACTCTCCCAGAGAATCACATTTGCACTCATACCTGCCCTGCTACTTATATCGAAGAACAGCGTAACCACGTCGCTTCTCATCTTCTCCGTCTACTGGCAGATCTATGGCTTCTTCAAGGAAATATTTCTGGATTATGTTCATCATGAGGTGACCCAAAAATGGGTTCTTATTTATTTTCAGCTGCTGCTTCTGGTCCTCGCCAAGGACACCATTCTCTGCTTTAATTTGGTCTGAATTATGTTCTGCAAGTTTATTGTGTGCTGGGTCTTATACTACGCAATAATTTATTGGATGGCTTTTGTTTGGTGTAAGGAGGATTTATGGAGGCCTCCATTCCTTATTTTGTTTGGGAGGGGATATTGTCTTGAAGGCATCCAATGTTTGGTAAATAAATAATAATAAATGGATATTGGTGTTTGTTACTATATATATATATATATATATTTGTTCTAGAGGATATCAGACTGAAGTTTGATTTGATGAGTTTTCTATTAATTGATCAGAACATTTAGGATTTGTTTGGAATAATTTTTTGTCAGCTTTGCAATTCAGACTGTCATCACGATTTTATTTGTGGTGTTTTATTGTTTTTTTGTAGAAATTGTTGTGGTGGGAAGTTGTTTTTCTTAATTTGATCTATTAAAGTGTTAAAGTACGGTGGTGGCCGTAAGAAACCTGCTATCATGTTTTTTTTAAAATATGTATATTTATAATTTTGACCGCAGTTTTCTATGAAATTGTGTTTTCTATGACAACTTTTCAATCATCTTTTTAGAAAGTTGCGGCCATCCTAAACAGGTCCTTACAAACCACTCAATTCTGATGTATTTACACCTTCACTTGAATTTTTACATGCACGCCAATTTAATTGTCTGTGCATCAGAAAAAAAATTAAAATATGAAAGATTTGGTTGGTTAGATGTAATATATGAAATTTTGGGTGCTAGAGATGTAAATATCCAGGAATTGGGGTGGTATGCATGTAAACGCTCCAAATGAGTTTTCTTGAAGATCAGTGCGGTGCAGCGATTGGTGAATTTGTCGTCGTATTTATTGATGTACCAATCATTTTTTTTATAGCCATTCGTGCCTCAATATTCTGTAAACATGTATTAATATGTTATTCTACATGCACGCATGAACTTATTAATTACATACAAACCAAAAAAATTATATGTAATTATATATCTAACATATAAATTTTCATATTTACATAAATGTAACTCAAATTTTTAAAAGAGCATCAAATATATCATAATAATTAACTTTTTAAAAATGAAATGTAAATTCTTATGCATAAATTTGTTACATTATAATATATATATATATATATTTGAAAGTAATGATTAGAAGTTATTATACAAGCTTCTAGCAATCTCTGATGTGTCTAATAATTCAAGTAACACATCATTAAGGCCAATTGTGCAAGAAATTATTATGAGGTTTCATATATAAATGCTCGCGCGCGATATATATATATATATATATATATATTGAAAGATATTATTGATAAATAATGAATAGTTATTTATAAATGTGGAAAAATAAATACATTTTAATGGGTCAAATTAAAAAGAGGATTTTGCAATTGCACCCCCATTAATTAATTAATTAATTAATTAATTAATTGACGGCTACTGAAATCCTATGTATTCGCAGGTTGAGGATTCAAAGTTGGATTGGCGGTGTTCTTTCCTCCCTCAGTCAGTCTGATCTCTCTGCTGCAGCGCTGCTTCTCCCATGGGTTCGCGTCTCTTACTCTCCTCATTTTTTACCAATTAGGGTTTCTGATCCAGATTTTTCGCTCCTTTACCGATCTTCTTCTCTGGTCGTTTTTCCGTCTAAGATTAAATACATATTTCTATAATTTTTTCTTACATTCTGATGCATCGAACATCATCTCTTCCGCATTTTCCCCCTTTATTGAGCTCACCGCAGATCTGTTCCTGTTTTGCAGCACGAGCTATTGTGATAATGGGAGTCAGCGGATCTGGTAAAACGTAAGTCTCTCTCATCCATAGGGTTTCAATCCAACTATCATCAATTTTCTTTAATTTTTTAGGTATAAATTTTGATAAACTGTAATTATGGATTTGCATGGTAAAATTTTAATCCAACTATGATATAATTCTGTTCTGAAAATATTTTCTGAAGCATGTGGATGGGATTCTCGCTGTCAAAGAAACGGGTCAAACAAGAACAACTCTTTATTTGATCTTGTTCAGCTTATTTCAGCTCGAAATAAACAAATTATATAATATTATATATCATATATATAAGTTTAGATCATAATAGTTTGTGTGGTCATGTCTTCTATTGCACAAAATTGATGGAGGTGCGAGTCCAACATCTTGCATCTATTTTTCCTATTTAATTTGAACGAGCCAATTTTGAGCCGAAAACGAGCTGCATACGAACACAATTCATGAGCAATTTCGAACATGAGTCAATTTCAAATGAGTCAAACAAGAGCCAAACATGGCCTCGCTCAAACTTCGCTCGTTTATAGCCCTAGATGGCAGTTATATGTCAAGTTGTGGACTTCGATTATTGAAATAGGAAAGAAAACACCATACATAGAGACAATACCTTGAGATTAATTAACCTACAAATGGCTTTAAATTAATTTTCTTAACAATAAATTTTACACACCAAGCTTGTATTTACATATGGAACACCTAAACTTTAATTTTTTACATTTATAATACTCGAATCTTTCATATCACATCAATACTACCACTATTATTGACTTTTAAAAGTGAAGTACACATTTCTAAAGCGATTTGACATGAAACTTTCTTCTCTCCATTTTTGCATTACATATCTAACCCTTAAAGTTATCATTATTTTAGCTTTTAAAAAGTGACATACTCTTTTTTTCATAATAAAAATTGAAGTTTAGGTGTTAAATAAAGGAAGTAAATAAGAATTGAGTGGTATAAATGTAAAAATTTCTTATTTTGTTAAATTACATTATCCACACAGTTTATAGTACTCTTTAACTTTTCATTGCACTTCCAAAAGTAATTTCACAAATAGCTGCAATTTTAAAAACAAACTTTAATTTTCATGTGATATTAAGTCATTTCCTTACACAAATAATATATGCTCTTTACATAAATCTTTGGGCATTTACATACATACCACCCAATTTTTATGAATCTGAATTTTACGTTTTACATTTATACCATCCAAATCATTCACATCACATTGAAAAAACCATTTTACATTTATACCATCCAAATCATTCATATCACATTGAAAAAACCACAATATTAACTTTTGAAAAGTGAAATATACCTTTTCATACATAGGTAAGGTGGAATGTTATGTAAATGTTGAAGTTTAGGCCTTAGATTTGTAAATACATAGGAATTGAGTGGTATGTATGTAATCCTTCTTAATTCTTTTACAGTACATGTTATGATAACTGGTTGAATTAACAGATCAGTTGCTAAGATGCTTTCAGAGGCATTGCATTGCAGCTTTCTTGAAGCTGATGACTTTCATTCGCAGTCAAACAAAGGTACTTCTTAAATTTGACTCCAAGCATTCTGCTTTATCAGATTTTAATTCTATGATATATATACTCTTTATTCAGTAATATTACATACATTACCACTCAATAACCTATGTATTTACATATAAAACACCTAAACTTCAATTTTTACATAAACATCTTACCTAGGCATGAAAAGGTGTATTTTTACTTTTTAAAAGTTAACATAGAGGGTATTTTTTATGTGATATGAAAGATTTGTGTGGTATATATATAAAAAAAGTAAAGTTTAGGTGTTAGATATGTAAATACATAAAAATTAGGTGGTATGTATGTAAATTTACATACACATCACATAAATTTTATGTATTTACATATGTAATGCCTAAAGTTTGATATTTACATAAGTAACATTTGGTATTGTAATTGCCTCAAAATATATGCATGAAAGTTGCATGTCAATTAAAAAAAAAGTTGAATGGCATTTACATACCAATCATCCTTCCTATGTATTTACGTATCTAAAACCTAAACTCTACTTTTTTACATTTATAACATCCAAAACAACTCTTTGTTCGTGAACGACTTGTGTTCGACTCGCTAAGCAAACGAGTAGAACACATACACACTTTTTGAGCTCGAAATATAAACAATCATAACATCCAAACATTTGATATCACATAAAAAATACCACCAGTTTAACTATTTGTAAAAATTGAAGTTTATGAGCTAGATTATGTAAATACAGAAGAGGAGTAGAGCGGTATATATGTAAATCTTCCAAAAAAATTATTATGAATGATATTTTTGTACATTATATAACTAAATATTAAAGTTTAGATGATAAATGATTAGCACACTGACCATTACCATCTCCATGAAAGAACATACAATCAAAACTCTGATATGATTTGGCAACAGTGAAGATGGCGAGAGGAATCCCACTATGCGACGAAGATCGGTTGCCATGGCTCGAAGCTCTTCGTGATGGAATCCGGCAGAAGTTCACCGGCGGCGGCGGAGAGACGGTTGTTCTCGCCTGTTCGGCTCTGCAGAAGAGGTACAGGGAGATACTCCGGGCAGCAGATCCGGGTTACAGAGAAGGGGAGTATGGTAATTGTATGGTTAAGTTCGTGTGTTTGGTGGCTGATGCGGAAACATTAGCTGAGAGGATGAAGAGCAGGTGTGTGGAAGGAGGAGGAGACCATTTCATGCCGGTTTGTTTGTTGCAGTCGCAGTTGGATTTGCTGCAGATATTTGAGTGTGAAGGGATACCTCAGATTGATTCCGCCATGAATCTTGAGCTGGTTCTGAAGCAGATTCTGAATTTGATTGAAGATTTATGGGGCTGATTGGAGTAATAGGTTTTTTATGGTAATACTACTGTTTTGTTTTGTTACATCTTACTTAGTCATGAGCAATTTTTAGAAGTTAAAAAGGTAGTATTTTTCATGTGATATAAAGGATTTTACTGATATTAATTTAAAAAGTAAAATTTAAGGGTTAGATATGTAAATAAATAGGAATAGGGTGGTATTTAATTGTTACTATAATTTAGTTTTTTCGGAACAACAACAACAACAACAAAGCCTTAATCTCACTACATGGGGTCGGCTACATGAATCCTTTTTCTCCATTGCGTCCTATGTAGTGTCATATTTTCATTTAGTTCTAGTAAATTAAGTTCATTTTTAATACAATAAGCACAAGTCTTCATAGGTCTACCTCTGCCTTTCTGAACACAAGTCGAATCTAAAACATCTACTCTCCTAATCGGATCATCAGATGGTCGACGTTTAATGTGACCCCAAACCATCTAAGATAATGTGACCAAACCATCTAAGACGATTTTCTCTAATTTTATTTTTTTCGGAAGAGAGTAAAAATAATCAGTATTATATGTTTTAAAAATTAGTTTTCTCACAACATCCATCACTGATTTTGACAGCCTTTTAAAGTAAATTTTAAGTAAATTTTAAATAATTGTTTGTTTTGTTTTAGCCTAATCAGCATTAACCAAATGTTAAAATACATAAATTTGGATTAGGAGTGTAAAAGAGTGGAGCTTGAGCCGCTCTCGACTTTTAACTTGATTAATTTAATTGAATTTGAGCTTGAGTTTAATTCTATAAGTTCGAGCTAGGTCACAAGCTAATAACTTAAACTAATGTTGTAAGTCAGAGACATAAATTGAACAATTAGCAGATATTTAATGAGAAAATATTTGATATAAAATATAAAAAAATCAATTATTAAACATTTTAATAACTAAATTTTTTTTAAAAAAATTATTATATTTTAAGTATATTTTAATTAATTATTTTTTAAATGAATCAGCTCACAAGCTGGCAAGTCAAGTTGGGACTAACTCAATTAACGGGCCATTTATCGAGTCGAGCTCGAGCCGGCTCACGAGTCAGCTCGACTCACTCACACCACTACTCCACACTAATAAAGTTGTATTATATAAAGATAAATGTTTCTCCAAATCATCTATCTAGATAAATTTAAGCTACATGTGCTGTTTTTTTCTCTCTTTTCAAATATTTAAATAACAAGGGACTTTAAATAAAACAAAACATAAAATTAGGGTTTCCTATTAAAATTTCTAAGCTTAATTATGGGATTTGCTGGCGGTTGAAAGTGTCCTCATGAACAAAAACTGGTTGAGGAGGGATCTGTGGTTGCCCTAATGCAATGCCCTGATTATGTGGAGGATCCAACGGCTGTGAATCCTTCGATGTTTGAAGTGATACGAAGTAAACAATACCTAAAAGATTAAAAAAAAATTATAAATAACAAATAAATAAAAACAAAATTACATACATACCACATAATTCTTCGATGTTTACCTATCTATCAAAGTCTGTAATCCATGCGAGAAAAAGATGCATTTCACTTCTAAAGAAAATAATGATGGTGGTATTTTTGATGTGTGGTATACATGTAAATATGAATATTTACGTGTCAGAACTGTAAATACATAGGAATATGTGGTATGTATGTAAATGCCCAGACAAAGAAGTAAGAAAAGGAAAATACCTAAAGAGACGCTTCCAAGAGCAAGTACTGCACCGCCTGAGAAGACGCCAGGTTTCACAACATAGCAGTAATCACCGAAGTACATCCTCTGCTGGCCTCTCTGGTCATTGAGGGCAGAACCGGTCAATAGAAGAAGGAATGCTATGATGAAGGTAACCCTGTCAGGCAAAAACAGCAGATCCAGCTAAGTAAACATATGGCTTCATATTGAAATTTTGAAATGGTATCAATACATAGGGCAGTAATTTCTATATTTTTACATGCATTCATACCACCCCAAATCATTTATACTATATCAAAAATACTGCGACATTCAATCATCGAGAGTGTTTTAGAGGAGAGGCCGGAAGTGTTGCTGAGATAATCACAAGTATTGTTGAAGCGGTCAAGAGTGTTGTTGACGCGGTCGAGAGCGTTCTCGAGGGCCTCAAAAGAGTTATAGTTGTCGAGAGAGTGATGTTTATAAGAAAGTCCATATGGCTTGCCAAGGTTGTGAAATAATGGGATAAGTCTTGAAATCAAAATCAGCGAACAAACCATCAATAGCTGCTCTTACGAAAATCAAAGGAAAACAAATAAGGTTAAAGGTTGATTTGCTTTTCGAGAGGTAGATCGTCTCTCCCATGCCCTAGACACCGTTAGGAACACCACACAAAGAAAAAAACCGCAGCCAAACAAAAACATGCGTAAAGAAAAGCAGCCATAGATTATTCTCCTTAATAGAATCCCCCCCACAACATTTGAAAACTTTCCCTCCAAACTCCCTCAATTACTTCTCCTTGAGTATGTGATTAGGGCCCTAGGGGACCCCACTTGCTCCCCCTCTCTCTTTTGTTGTGGCAATAGGCCGCTCGGCCTCTTCACTCAATGAGGATCGGCCCGTATGTTGAAGGAGCGGGCCGGTTGGGTGGTGTTCTACCGGTCCAAGAGGGACCGGTCCTCTTAAGCCAATTAGGAGCCTGACATAATGTTGTTTTAATCAAACAATTGTTGTACCATGACGGGATGATAAAATAGCTTGCTAAGGGCGTTCTATTTGTTCCATAGAAGAATAAATTTTTGGTCGAACAGTTTGGAAAAATTGTTGAGCACATTAGCTTAGTCAAGCCAATAGTGATATAGGATGCCTTGTTGAGAACATGGCCGAGAACCTTGGCAATGTGGCGAGAAAATTAGCTAGTCCCCCCACTATATCCAAACTCCATCCCCACATATTAGACTTCATAACATGCTCCCTTACAAACCATAAAACCTATTGCTCTCAAGCTTTCTCCTCCAAAGCCAGTATCTTTAAATTACTCCACATCCGGATCCTCCCAATACCACATCCTCATCTTCATCAACAACTATACAGCATTCCCTTCTCTTGACCACATCCCAAATAAGCCTTGGTTGAGTCCCCCTTCATCACTCAAAGGTCAATAAATAACATCCCAAGCCTCCACAATTCTTGATCATACCTTATATCCCCTCCACCCCTTCAATATTATTCTCATCCTTTGCTCCATATAGGAGTGATAGACATCAATCTTAATTATTCCAACCATTTGGCTCCATTAGAAAGAAAATATAAATTTAGAGAAAGTTCATTTTTTGTGAGTGTAAAATATCATCTTGACAATCTCCCATTGTGCCAGGAAGTTCAATTCAAATCAATAACATGTACGTAGATTTGATGAACTTTTGAAATGCATAATTTCTAGTCTTTGCCCAAGTTTCCTTAGTATTATCTCTTATGAAAGATTCTCTTCAGAAACTTGAGACTTTTCTTTTTTGGTGTGATTGGGGTTGCATGAAGTTGGGGAAAGCTGTTTATTAGTGTCATTTTATATTTGAATCTATATGGCCTTGCTTCTGTACAGTGAATCAAATCCTCTCTTGTGGATGTAACATTTAGTATTTTGTGGTTCTTCGTTCTTGCTCATGATTGGTGCTTTCACGTAAAAGTTTGGTTTTTTTTTTTCCTGGTAAAAAGTGTCGCCCATGGAAATGTCTGCAGTAATTAGAACAAAGAAAATTATTTTTTACAATAAACCATAACAACACAATTGAAATACATAAAGATAAGCACCTACAATTCAAGATGTGTGATCTCTCCCAAATCCTACAATTCGGAAATCTCTCCTAAACCTTAAACATAAAACTCAAGACAACAATCTCATGCATCCCCTAACCCTAAACTATTAAATCTTATTCATACCAAACAATAATAAATAATAAAATACTAAATTTTCCTTAGGCTAATTAAAGACAAAATTGTCTTTAGGCTAGGCACCAGTGTAACAATACAACCCCCCAAAAAGACACATTGTCCTAAAGGTGAAAAAATTGTCGTTGGATTAGGATGCACGACTCTTACGTGGCATCATCATCTAACAGTCAATTCCATTTAATTAAAAACACATAGTGACCCCGACTGTCTCGAAATGCCATCTTATGCACGTCCTTCAGACGTATCTGAATCTGATGGTACCCTGACTTCAAGTCGATCATGGAGAATACTGATGCACCGAATAACTCATTAAGTAGCTCATCAATCCCCAAAATCTCTGCCAACTATGTATCATGTGACTTTTTTATGCTATGCAACTTGATCAAGAATTGCAGCCCTGCATCCCGAATCACCTCATCATAGCCTTCAGCGTCACCACTATCTCATCAGAATCACCAAACAACTCATTCAGTAGCTCATTGATCCCCAAAATCTCTGTCCACTACGTATCATGTGACTTTTTTATGCTATGCAACTTGATCAAAAATTCCAGTCCTGCATCCCGAATCACCTCATCATAGCCTTCAGCATCACCACTATCTTGCACAAATTGGATCACTGTGAAGCATGATCATCTTGTCTCCCTCCTGAAGACTCTGTAGTGTTCAAATCAATCCCTTATAAACTTTCTCGCTCTTCTTCAATGTCGTGTTCTCATCATTACTTTTGAGTCGCCTTCACCCTAGTAGGTTGCCGCCACAAAATGCACATACGCAATTGGATGTAGTCTTCACCCCCCAACCATGGTTCCCTGTCCTAGGCGAAATTCCTCGAAGTGATCCTCTCCAGCCTTGAATCACACGTCGTTTCGATCTGCATGCTATCGCTCGTCTCAAACCTCATGATGTAGTGCAATTCCCTCTAGATGTTGTCGTTTGAATTCATTCTTGATTCCTTAGTTCGATCCTGCTTGCTTTTGTTTGTTAAGACTACCTGAATGTCGCACTATTTCTTCCAATGTTGCTGCTCGAGTCCGCTTCTGATTCCTTCGCTCAATACCACAACTTTTGGCCCACATAAAGCAGTGACGCTGCCCTAATGTCGCGCGAATCCTTTTGGTTGTTGCTGCTCATATCTGTTCCGGATGCCGTCACTCGATCCCACGATAGCCGGAGACGATTTTGTGTGAAACTTAATCATATTCTTTAGCATTTCTTCTAGAGCCGAGAATCTTCCCTCCATGGACGAGAAACGTGCCTTCATTTCTGATCTAATTTGACGCATCTCTTTCTCTAATTTTTTCTCCAAAACATCAATTTTATTGATTTCCATTACTCTCCCAAAAAAATTTCATGACAAATGGCAGAAACAAATGTACATTAAAATGTCGTCGATGGTTTTTCAAATAGTTTGAATCGTGTCAGTACCGCAAGATAGTAAGCCTGTGGTCGGTCCTTGGTCCTTGGTCCTTGGTTAGAATCACGTTTGTACGCTGAATAGGCCTGTTATGGCTAGCCTGATTCAGAACACTACCTTCTCTCCTAACCGATAGTGACCTGGATCAAAGGAATGTCTAAAATCAGAGTTGAAGATGTCAATGGCCGCCGCGGGTAGGGGGAGTGGTTGTAGTTTCCATAGAATTGAGGACGATGTCATTGAGGATCAAAGATGTTCTGGATCGAATCACGATGCTTCACAGAGAAATTGAATCACGACGGTAAACTTAAAGCACGACTATATCGATGAGATTTGAACTTTCTGCACGTCGCGATCTCGTTGTTTGCTTCCCAACTACATAAATCGTGACCCAGCTAGCTCGATCGCCATTATATCATCACAAGACACACTGTTATCCCGTCATCGGTGTTTTGGCTTGAATCGCATTTGTTTTGCAATGAGCGATCCCATCATTCGTTTCCTATCTAGCTTGAATCATAGCTGTTTTGTCACGAGGCACGCCGCGATCCCATCATCTACTTTGAAACACGACTGTTTCGGCAAGCAAAGGAGACGCGATCCCGTCAGCTTTCCACATAAATCGTGATGAAGCAAGATCGATGCTTATGATACCAATTTGATAGGAAACTCCGCATAAATTAGGACAAAGCAAATTGTTTTCTTCAACAAACCCAACAACACAACTGAAATACATAAAGATAAGCACATACAATTCGAGAGGTAGGCAATCTCTCCCAAATCCGACAATTTGAGTGGCAGAAAATCTCTCCCAAACCCCAAACCTATAAGTCAAGACAATAATTTCATGCATCTTCTAACCCTAAACTATTAAGTTTTATTTATACCAAACAATAATAAATAACAAACGACAGTGCCCTTAGGCTAAGAAAATTAAAATTGTTTTCAGGCTAGGCACCAACGAAATAGTCACACACCATAACAAGCCACATCCTTTGGCCATCTCTAATAAAAGTGGTTGACTAATCATTTATCATTTGCAATTGATCAAAACACCCTGAGGGTTTGCATTCTTGAGAAGGAAGCTAATTCAACCCCACAACAATTAGGCTCTAAGAAGTGTGAATTGGTCAAGACCCAAAATAGCCAAATATGATTCATCTTAGGCGAGTAGATCCAAGTTAAGACACCAACTAAGGTCAGCAAGAACATTAACATAGGGGTGTCAAATCATGCCCATGGGTTTGTTCGGGTCTAACACACAAGTGCTTGATCCGAACCGATTTGAAGATTAAATGGGTCAAACAATCCAACCCAAACTTGGCCCTCTATTAACCTACCAACCCAAACCTGACCTATAATTAGTTTAACATGAGGCATTACAACTATTTGGGTCGCTTTCAAGCCAATTTCGAGTCAACTTGGGGCTGGTGTTTCGATTTTGAGTCAACTTTATGGTAGAGAATCAATTTAGAGTTGGTGCGTCGACCCAAACCCGAATTTTTTTAGTCAAGTCCAGTTAGAGTTGGTATGACGGGTCAATTTTTGACACCCCTACGGCCCTACATCAACTGATGTTGTTTGGTCGTCTTTACGGGTAATCTTAAACTGATCATAGAATGCACTATTCAATTAAATCTCGACATGACTATCAGAAATTGCATGGCATGATAAAGGTCACCACACAAACATCTCCAAGTAACACTCTTCCAATTCCTAGATGCTCACTCCATTTAGGCCATAAATAAAACCTGACATAATTATCACTTTCATCCTAAACTTCCTCCTTTTGCAATATCAAGGTCAGGGACTGAAAGCTAAAGGGGAGAGCTCTAAAGTTACATACTCTTGGTCTACCTGATGAAAAAAACCTGGTTTATATAAAATCATTTAGCTGATTTGTGCATCAAAAACATATCCAAGGGGAAAGCTACCTCAAGGCAATTTGAAATTCTCGACGGCTGATCCTTTCAAGAAAGTAGAAGGGTTCATATGAGGCCACCGATAAGTTTTTGCATTTGAGTTAATGTAAAATCTCCTCAGAACTCCACATTTTACTATAATTGCAACATGAAGTAATAAACAACAAATTCTCATATTTATATCCAGATTCAAGAAAACATGGGTGCAAAATGATAAAGCAAGCATGCAGCCAAAATTAGAACAAAGCATAGAACTTTAACACGCTCGCCATATGATGTACGTTCATGCTCCAAAAAAATACGGCCTAACAGAATTTCTGGTTCAAAAATTACCACGAAAGAACGAAAGATATTAATGCAACAGTCCAGTTGGTGTTGGCCGGATTTGTATTTCTCTTGCAGCATATGCACCCAGCAACTGTATTTATAATTGCCTGAGCGATTACAACAGAAATTGCAGATGCTAATCCAAGATATAGAGCGGAGCTCTTCGGATACGTACATTCGCCGGGTACTCTTGTCAGCACATCCGAAGCCTGAAAGAAATCGAATATTAAAGTTAACAGAGCTGCCAACAAGCTGAAGTAGAGTGAAATAAACCCATCCAAATTGTCTCATTATTGATCTAGTATCAGCTAAACATTTGTCCAGCTTGGCTTTGGCCAAATTCTAAATTTTTAATGCAGATAGCAACCCGACAATTTTATACTAACAAAACTTTAGAATACTAAGTGGTGAAAAATCATGTAAAAAATTGAAAATTAAGCACAAATAAAAAGCTAGCGTGCATCAAATTTAAAATAAATCAAATCAATAACAAGTCCTCTTTTAAAAAATGACATTCATAGATATATGTCACCAAATCAAGTTTCCTCCTTGTATAAAGAGATTTATAAGTTTCCTCCTTGTATAAAGAGATTGATAACCTCTCCCAAAAAATCTTTAACCTCCTCTTCCTCTACTTACAGGGTAGCACCTCTCCCAAAAAATCTTTAACCTCCTCTTCCTCTCGCTCTCTGGTCTACTTACAGGGTAGCGTGCCACAACAAAATCAAATCAATCCTTGTTCGCCTCTCTTTTCCTCCTAGCAACATTACATGCAAAACAAGCTTATAAGAGAGAGCCATGGGAGGATGAAAACTAGTCATAGGAATATAAGAAGCGGGGAGCTCCACATCAGTCTATAACTCAAGAAAAAATCCAGCTTTGAAGAATTGCTTACTCGACAATCACATAGCATTAAATCCATGACTCATCAGCTGCAAGACTATCATTATAAGCTACACAACCATCACTAATGAACATAAATTTACCTTTGATGATAGTTTAAAGAACAAGGTTAGTATGACAATTTAATAATCATCATCTATATACCTGTTGTTTCATTATAAAAGATATACTTAGCATCCACCATTATTACTAGGCACAATTTCATCTTTTGATGAAACCTTCAAGCAAAGTTGGCATGATGGTAGAATCATCACCTACAGGCCAGCCATTTTACTCTATAAAGAGTATTTTAGCATTTGTCATCCTTAGTTGACATAATTTCAATTTCTCTAATACTTCCAAAAAAAATAAAAAATCAGTATGTTAGCTTAATTTATATGCATAAGATGTATTGAGTGTGAAATTCAAAAGAAGGGGCAAAAAGAGAGAAAATCCAAGATAATAATTGGTTGTTCATGGTATTATGCTGAATTATGTAATTAAAAAACTATATTAAGACCAAAATTTTCTAAGAATTCTAACTTTTGTGCTATGACTTATATGGTCTCAATTTTCAAGCAAATAATAGTTTAAAAAACTATAATGGAAATCTTTCAGTGGTTTAATGAATAATCACATTTTTGCCCAATTTGAATTCCATATATCACTAATTTACAGCTTCAATAGAGGTTGGCAATAAGCTTTCTATAAATATTTTCATGCAAACCATCCAAATGAAAAATGAATGATATAATATGATGTGACACTTGTATTAAAAATGCTGAAATATCTATATGCTTCATTTTCTCTTGAGTATTGATACCTAATCTGAAGAAAGGTACCTAAGGACTAGGGTTTCTTATGCAAATATAAAATGAGAAGCACTGATGAGAAGCACTGAAATTTTGCCAGCCAAAAAAAAAAAATCAGTAAACAAAGTCTTAACTCTGACAATCATCCATTGTGATAAAAATCTAAAACACAAAAAGATTTCATGCATATGACATTCAATACAATTATACTAAAAATAACACTTGGGAATTTGAAACCGTGAAAAAACATGAAGTAAAATGAAAAGCACAATCACAAAGAAATCTACATCACAAACTTGAAATAAATCAACTAACCAATCAAACCAATAACAAATGTCGGCAAATAAGTGTTGAGTTGAGTGATTTAAAAAAATTGCAAAATAAATATAAAATTTAATCAAAATTATATCGTTTTAAGGTTTATTGTCACTAAGTATAATGTTTATAACAAGAATTCTCACAGGAGATAAAAGGCGCTGCATCAAAAAGCCTTGCAGTGCCATCCAGAGCAAAAAAATAGGCACATAAACCGAGAACAGAGAGCTTTTGGGCTGACAAAACTGGCACTATGGCACTCGATTCGGTGTCTTGGTTAGAGAAGTGGAGAATTAGTTCAGAAACTTGAGAGCTTATTGTTTCAGAGTTGTGGTGTTGGACAGCTTAAAAAGAGGTTTCCAAATAAAGAGTACGGCACTTCAGAGCTAAGAAGAGCAAAAATCAAACAAAAAAAAAACAAAGAGCTTAGCACATTGGCTCACCAAACTGGCACCACGACATGGCGGCCTAATTGATAAAATTCCAAGTTTTTTTTTTTAATAATTAAAAAAATTGTAAAGCAGTTTAAGAACTGATTGGAGCAGTTACCTACAGAGTTAGGAGAGGTAACTAAGTGGGGAACATGCTGATTGTAAGAGGGGACAATATGTAGTGTAATAGAAGACTTCGATTTGTTTTGCATGTGAGAAGACTTGGTGTAAGACGGAGAGTGATAGAGAAAGCATCAAGTAGAAAAAAACAATTAAGGAGGAAAAAAATCAAATGAATTTCTAGGCACATGACTTCTTACGGTGACATCCGTCCTGGATCTTCTTTTTCTTTTGTGTTCATTCTTTTCTGGATCTTCTTTTTCTTTTGCGTTCATTCGTTTTTGTGCTATAATACATTTTAATTAATGGACTGTCTGTTTGAAATTGTCATAAACTAGTTTATTTATCTAGATTTACAGTGCAGCAAAAAATTATATTTCTTTGTTGCATCATGTCTCTCCTTTCGCTGTTGTTCTCATGTTATCGTCTCATTGCAATTTAGCAAGTCACAGCACTTAATCCTTGGCCTGCCTCTCTTTGACACCTAACATCATTGCATGCAAAAGAAGCTCCAAAAAGATAGTTATTGGCAAAGGAAACCTGGTCATATTAAGCAAATAAGGGAGTTCTGCACCACCAAGATTTTACAAAGTCCTGAGATTTCATCTATTAATCCCATGTTAAGTTAATAAATGAGTGTTTTCATTTGCTAATAAGCTCTTATTGCTCCCAGTAATTTTAATAGCAAACTTCATGCAACACCATCACCAAATGTTGTGTAAAGTACTTTCAAGCTCCCTTAGCTCTTTCTTCGGAGAAGATTGTTCCAAATTTCTTTGTAATATTCTTTAGGATTCAAAACATGTAACCAAGCTAGTTTGTCAAAAAATCTTTCTTTCCTTACTCTGTCCTGGTGAAGAAACTTCTTTAACTGTGAAATGATATATCGACTAATGAGTTGATCTTGACCTTATTATAAAAAATGTTATTTCTTTTCTAGTTTTAAAAAAAAAGTAAGTATTATACTTCACGATAAAGAGGCTATTTTAAACAAAATCTGCAAGGGCGTCGTTCGGCGTGAATAAAGGCTTAGAAGCCCATCCACCACAAATTTTGTGCTCAAAGTTGATAGATTTTTTATCTCCCTCCCTCTCACATTTTGTGTGCTTAATACTCATATTTTATGGTCTGTTTGGGACAGTTGCAGCTATTTGAAGAAGCAAATGTGAAGCTGCTGAAAAAAAAAAATTGTAGTTCAAAAAGTTGGTAGTCATTATAAGAATTTTTTTTTAAAAAAAGGGAGACCACAACTTTCTAGCAATCACCTCATGTAGCTAGGTCTAGTGAGAAAACAGAGCTTTAAGTTGCAGTTTTTTTAGAGTGCAGACAAAACGTGATTATGTCAAAAAAAAAAAACAAATTGTGGTGCGGCACCACACAGCCACCGCACTGCCGCCCCAAACAAAAAAAAAAAAAAAACAAATTATGGTGCGGCACCACACAGCCACCGCACTACCACCCCAAACGCATTAATTTAAAGATGGACATTATTTGTTCACAAAATTTGTTAAAGTTCTAAAAATAATTTTAAAATACTCAATTTCCCTCTTGGGTGCGCACAAAGGCTAAAATAATAGTGAATAATAGAAATGAATTTTTATTTAACCTTAGCTCATATGGAACAAATAATACAACAATAAGCTTTAATTGCATATTAATTTTTTGGTTAAATTTCATTAATACATTTTTATTCTCTCCTTAAAAATTGCTAAAAGAAAGGATGAATCATTAAACCAAAATCATTAGCGTATCATCATTACTTTTCTCCCAAGAACTTCAACGCACAAATGTTAAGATGGAAATGAGGTACTCAACTTTTTCCGCACAAATCATTTTGCACGACTTACGCTATTAATCTTCCCACTTTCCTTACTAATTCTTTCACTTTAAGAGTACTTATCCATCTAGGATGTATCTTGTACTCTTCTTTGTATATAACTAAACTACTTATAAGTGTTTTTCACTACCTTATCTTTTATAGATGCTACTCCTACTCCTTTCTATTATAATCGCTTTCAATCTTATCTTGATTTAAACGCATACATTGTAATATTCTCATTCCCAACACACTTGATTTGCCTATCAACAGCAGCTACATCGCCCACCACTCATAATCATATAAGATGATTCTAGGAAAGATGCTCAGTAACACTACCTCCCCCTAACAAATTTTCCCTGATTAAACTAATTGGTCGGTAAGTGGTAAAATGTTATTATGCTATTCTCCTTTCCTCAAGAAAAACTAATTACTTGAAAATTGCAACATGAACTATATAGCAAAGTACGGAGGGAGCTAACATGCAAAAATGAAATGTTCCCACAGTTTTCATAGTTGAACTTATTAGCTGCTGGAAATTAGCATTTTGACGAATGACCACACTCCTTTAATAGAACATCAATCCCGTGCGTAAGAAGGAATACTACACTTATGCCTGCAGAAGAATTCTGTCCACTTAGCACTACAAAAAATTCACCAAAATGTATTGGAGCGTTTACATAAATGCCACACAATTCTTATGTATTTACATATCTAACTCTGAACATTCATATTTACATGCATACCACTCAAATCTTTAATATCACATCAAAAATTCAACCATCACTATCTTTTTAAAAGAAAATAACACCTCTTTTTTTTCATAGTTTTATTATACCAATGTGTTAAAAGTGTAAATATCAAACTTAGGCTGTTTCATATGTGAATACATAAGAATTTTGTAGCACGAATGTAAACTTCCCAAATGTATTATGTAATCCGATTAACCATTTATGACTAACGCCACAACATGTGAGGATCTTAAGGCGGTGTATGGCTAAAGCTTAGATTTACGTTAAATAGGATTTCTCAAATCCGATAAATCAGGATTTATCAAATGCAGTGTGCGATAGAGGAGCTCGGGGTGATGTCAAAATAAATCTGCCTCGCAATCAGATTTAGTAAATTTAGATTTACGTCGTAAAAGAGACCAAACGCGAGCAAATTCAATTTAACGGGGCATTGGATTTAGTTTCATTTTTTTGGTATTTGGTTGGATTTAAGTTAAATCCATCGCTAAATCCTCTTAATAGCATGCTATCAAACACCACCCAAATGTATACCAACAATTCCCAAGTCCTCAGAATAAATCCCCAATTCTATTTAGGAACCGCTAAAGTCTTAGGGCTAACAATTCGCTCAACTATACGTCCTCCAATAAAAGAAAAAGTGTTATGCATTATTTTTATGTTAACTGTCAAGAGAGCACGGCTTCCATCGGATATATTTTAATTTCAAAACAAGGCTAAAAGTCAGCAACCGAATTTTTTTTTTAAACTAAGACTAGGTCAAGGAATAGGATACATTCATTCTACAGTAAAATGCATAAAAATACAAGAATAAAAGAGAAATTTGCAAAGAATAATCAATCAACACATTTACAATGAATAATCGGCAACCCAGTAATAAGAAGAATTGCAAATCCCAAGCATGCGGATAGTGGTATATCAGTACAGAAAGGTAAGAAAACATGTACAGCAGATGCGAATACCCATACCAGAAGCCAACAACCTATAAATTACTATGTTTCTCAATCTTAAAAAATGAAAGATAACATCGCTGCCGAAAGGAATCACCAATAAAGCGAGAGATCATGCATTATCGTTAATCTATTGAAGAGAACTTGCGGAATTAGAGAAAATCGCAGAAGAACTTCCTGCGGAAGATGGGGAGAGAGGTGGGCTGACCTTTACCCTCGTCGCCTCCGCAGCGAAGCCTAGAGCAGCGGAGAGAAGACCAAGAAACCCCACTGTGCCACAAACCACCAACACCTTCCTCTCCATCTCTCCCAAACCCAATGCTAATCTCTGTCTCTCTCTCTCTCTCTCTCTCACACACACTCTCTCTCGCTATCACTCTCCACTGCCGCTTTATTCTTGTGAAGAGGAAGAAGACGATAGCGTCCAGAAAGCGTCCTTTTCAGGAGGAGAGCAATTATACCGCGGGCCCATTATTATTCTTTTAAGGAAATAGCTGATAGAAAATATAGAAAATATTCTCTTATATCTCAAACCTGGTAAGTTGCAAAAAAAGTTCTAAAAATTGTATTGAGGGTTATAATTGTGTTATATCTCATGTAATATCTCTGTAATTTAGTATGTTTTACGCTTCTATTTGCATATATTTATAGGTTACGGTAGGTTATATGGAGGCTATAGGGGGTATAATATGGTTATAACCCCCAATATTCTCGTTTTAAATTATTTGTAGGTTACATACATACTCAGCCCCGCGTACGTCTTACGTACGCAAAAAATTTTCCTAAATCAGGAGGGTCAATCATCAAACATCATATTGTTATATAGCTCATCAACAATCGACATTGCGACTAGTGATTGTCCATCACCTTAACTCGGAACGATCAATCATCAAACATCACATCATTATATATCTCATAAACATACGTCGCGATTAGGCAAAATATTTTTTAATAATTGATTACTATTTTCAGTACAGTGAGTTAGCAGTGTTAAATAGAAAATTTATATATACGTCATATAATTTTTATGTATTTATTTGTATATTATAAAATTTTGATATCTACTTATCTCAAAGTGATATTGGGAATCATTTTTGACCTTCTATTTTAATTTCTTCATTTTTTTTTCAATTTTATTTATATTTACATTGAAAAAATATTTTTTTTAAAATTTTAAAATTAAAAACATTCGAAATATAAAAATTTACTTTTACTTATTAAAATATATAATGACTTATTTTAAAAAATAAATAATAAAAATAGGTAAAAATTTTATCAATATGCATATTTAAAAATTAAAAAAAAAAAGAAGTGATTCCAAATTGCCCCTTTACGTTACAATCACATTACAGTCACATAAGAAGATATTTCTTACCTTAAAAAAATTAATATTAATTATATTTATGCAACTATATAAGAATTATGTGATTTGTTTTCTAATACATGTATATCTACAAATATTAGTATATACATATACTTGACCATATACATTTGCCTTGGTTCAAGTCATGCTTGAACATGCTCTAAGTTTTAAAATCTCAAATCATACTTGGTCGAAGTTTAATAATACTATATATCTTTTGATGATTGAATTTTAAAGAAAATAGGAAGCACAATTGGATTCATGAATTTTAATTAAAATTCAAATAAATCATTAAGTATAGTATTTAACTAATTTATGAAGAAATATTTTGATTTATATATCTAAAAGTAGTATAATATTTTCATTATATTTATACAAATAATTATAAAAATAAATCTTAAGTGAATAACCAATTGAACTTCAAACTTATTTATTTACATGATGAGATCGAAATTTTATTGAAACTTATTTAATTATAGAAAGATTTACATACATACCACTAAGGTCTTATGCATATACATATCTACCACCTAAACATCAACTTTTATACAGAAACACCCGAAAAAATATTAAATCAGGACTCCTGATGCATTCGAGTTTAAAGGTGGGGCGACACGTGTCAAATGGGTTCCCCCATTTTTAATATCGGTCAGTACCAGTGTATTACAGTGGGGCTCACTT